TCATACTCATACTCATACTCATACTCATACTCATACTCATACTCATACTCATACTCATACTCTCATCAATGCATTTTGCATACTTCCGGTATACGAGACCTACAACTTGACCACCAAGTCATCTGCATGGTACATCTTCAAAAGATCGGCGATGCCGTACTTCTCTGCAATCGCGTCGTTGATGAATCTGCCGCCTAAATAATGGGCCTTGTCTGCGGCCTGGAATTTCTCTGCACACGGCTTTGGCGCCGTGAGGCTCACCAACATGGCTGCGTTGATGTCCAAATCCAAGGGCCCCTCGTCAACGTCCCAACCCGAGGGAATATCCACCGACACAATCGGTGCCAACTTGGCGGAATTTGCCGACAAGTAGCCCACCAATTCGTCAAAAGGTGCGCGGAGCGGTGGCCTGAAGGAAAAGCCAAAAAGCGCATCGATAATCACTTTGGTGGAGCCGGCCTCAAGCAACTTCTTTACCAGGTCCACGTCGTTGACTGAGCGCACACCCATATCCTCGAGCTGTTTGGTGAGCCGCACGTACAAGTCTTTTTGCGGTCTTTTTGGGTAGAACACCACCGGCTCACAGTAGTTCCATGCCTTTAGGTGCCGTGCACATACCAACCCGTCACCACCATTGTTTCCAGGCCCCACAAGCACCAATACGGTTTCCGGTTTGGCGGCGCGTTTTGGCGGGTATTGCTTATACACGGCCTTGGCCACGGCAAGGCCCGCCAACTCCATCAACTGGTCGATTGAGAAGGAGCCGGTGGACATGAGTTCCGCGTCTAGGGCGGCGGCTGCTTTGGCAGAAAGCGTTTTGAATACCAGCATGGATTGGTGTTTGTATCTACAGATATATAGGATGCGTCACAATGGAGGCAATCTGGTTTTATGTGGTTGAAGAGAGGAGGGCGCAATACTGGCCTACTTAATATGGCAACAACCTTTAGGGAAAAGAGGAGGTACGGTAGTGTGCCATTGGGTGAGAGGTGGATCGTTGCTGCGCGATTAAGTTGGGGCCATACAGGCTTGTTTTGTTTGGGGATTCAGGCTGTTGCGGCTGCAATAGTCGAGCAGGTGACACGCTGTTTTCCGTAGACTGGGGAAGTGTTTGGATTTGGCGGAATTCTCGAGTATTGATTGGAATCTGTTTTGAAGCCCTGGAATCTGCGGCCCGGCTGGATACTTGGGTGTTCAATTAAGCGTATTCAAGCATGCTAATACTAGTGGTGTCGCGAGACGCGCTTACTAAGGTTTGCGAAATAAGCCATGTTGGCTGTTCTGGAATGTGATTGTTTGAAACCCCTTGCCGCATGGATGGCTCGCTATCTTGGGGGAGTTGAAAGATCGGGTGTGGATGAATCCTGCCGCCAGTGGGTGGTGTTAGTTGCCCATTTCCTCTATATTCCGTTGCTCACAGTCTGAAGCCAAATTCGGTCCTCTGGGGCCAGACCTCATTGCCAAGAAACCAGTGAAGCCAGCAGCTTATCATCTTAAAGCTTAGGCGTATTTTTCTCAGAGCGAGACGGGGGACACGTAGACAAAGGGAGTCATTAATGACATTTCAGCAATTTAGATGAATCGTGCGACTGCACATGACACCGGAAAGTTGGAGACGCTCAGAGATCGATGCATCGTTTGGGGACACAACTGAAATGCTTCCTGATGTTTGGGGAAAGGAACATAATAAATGAGATTGCTCAAATAGAAGTTTCCCCGAAATGCAAATAACAGAGATGAGAAACCGGGTGTCTGAGATCAAACGACCGGTGTCCCGAGAAATAACACTGGATCTGCAGTCTCTCCACAAGATGATAACATAGATCACAAACACAGATATCTGGTCCAGTCTAAAGATAACATGAGCAGATCGTGCGCCACCTTTTAATTCGGATCCCACAGGCTGGTTCGTACACTCTAAGTACGAGCCCAGTTCCAGTCCTTAGCGTTCGGTAGTGCATATGGAATGCGAGAGTCAGTTTCGGCGGACAGTGCTCTTGAACACCCAAATATACACGGCGTCCTGCACATCATACGTTGCCGAGCACGTGAAAGAGGCCACCGGTCCGGCAGTCCGGCCATATAAGGCACATCACCCTCCGTTTTCTGGGCCCTCTGTTTTTTTCTCGGGACCAGAATTGACTGCTTACCCATAAAAAGAAACGGAGCGGTGATATTTTCACCAAACCAGACTTTGGCAGGAGGGGGTGGGTCTGCAGGCTGCGGCGAGCCGCACGGTATCCCATTCCAAGAGATAAGCCAAGCCCGGGCTACCGAGATATTTAAGGACTCCGGATTTCGCGAATACTGGGTTGGCAGATTTTATTTCCAATTGACTAATTATACATTTCCGTAGAAAAGCGGGCTGGTCGAACGAGTGTTTGTTCACTTACCTTTGCCAAATCACACTGCCTACTGTCTGCAAGTAGAGGCGGAATAAGAAACTAGACAGTACCAACCGACCTGAAAACGGGCCAAACAATTTGAAGAATCTCACCACGTTCGACAGCGGATGGTGCCATTTCTACTCGCGTTCTTTTTTTTTATTTTCGCCCACTGGTGTGTGCTCAAAGTAATCTAGCACATGCGATGTATGACAGTTAATAGCAGAACAATACAAGTATCAACCAGGAATTGTTTGTAAAACAGTAAAGGCGTCGATCGTGAGCCGGTTCGTAGAAAAGTACAAGTGACATGAGATTGTTTGTGATAAAGCACGAGTCTCATGCCGAAAAGATTCTTTAAAGTACATCTCTGGTACAATACAGTGAGCAGATGATCGTTGGTATAATAATGCGGATAGGATATGGTTGTAGCGAGCACGGATAGTAGGGAGGAGCTTGTGGAATATACAAGTAGTCGAAAGTGCTTGTAGAATATACAAGTAGTAGAATAAAATAGCAGTTGTAGTAGAAAAAAGTAAAATAGAAGCATATGCAGATAAAAAAAAATAGATGATGAATATTCAGTCATATGACCAGAAACTAACTCAGCTTCAGCTTCAACATTATCAAAAGGAGGTCGAGCACTTTGTTTAAAGCAGTATAACAAAGACCTAGGGCGGGGAAAGACAATTGAGGAAGATGACTCTGAAACGATGAGGAGTGGATCCTGGGAGATATGAGGCAAGGGCATAATAGCCCAATGCAGAAAGAAGATATGAGCATCTCTGCAATATTGTTGCGAGCGTATGGGCGCGTTTTCAGGGTGCTTCATATTCCTCTCAATAAGGTTTCTGAGTAAAAGATATACACATGACATTGCTAGTCAATGTAATTTCCCAGAAACTCTCGCCTCACCATCTTTTTTATTATCTTGATAGATCATATCATGTGAGGCTGCCCTTGATATCTTTATATCTCGAACATGTTAGTCTTTATTTACCCTCACTCTCAATCTCCGTCCCCTTCCATCTGCTCTTAAAGAAGTCTATATCTCCAACCTGCTGGCTCCCTTTAATCTATTGTCTGAGTTTTGTTTTCAATTTAACAACCAGTTCTCACACCTTCAGGTGTATCATATTTTGCCCCATGGGCCCACTGCCTGCGGCCTTTTCAAAAAGCCCTCTGTTCTCTCTTTCCCATTGTGTCGCACCTATAACCTCCCAATAAGCCAATCTACTTATACTTTCCCATAATCCCCCTCACTGTTTGAATACACAACATTCTCGCATCGTATTCTCAAAACCACTTATTTTGTCGCCTTCCCGGGCGCATCAATTCAGTGTGCTCTGATGACACCAATCTGAATTTCGTGTAGATCCCATATACCCATATAATCCATACACAGCTCGGCAATCCCTCCAGAAAACTCTCCCCCATCTTTTGACTTCCTCTCCCTCACCTTGTTTCATTATCTTCCCCATTTCTAGCATCGACTGATTTTTGCCGTAACTCCCCGCCATACTCGCCCAATACACCCGCAACAAACCTTCGATAAGCGAGCCTTATACTGTACTTTCCCACCACAGCCTGCAAGCCCGAAAGTGCACCCAATCCACTGCGAAGCCCCAAAACCCAATCCACCAAACATATCATCCACCATGAACACACAGTACACCATATATACAAACCCACCATAAATAAACCCACTAAAAATACAAAACCACTAAGAATACAAAACCACTAAAAATACAAACCCACCATACATACAAACCCACCATACATACAAACCCACCATACATACAAACCCACCATACATACAGACCCACCATAAAGAACCCCACCATAAAGAACCCCACCATAAATACAAATCCCGAAAAATACAAGCCCACCATAAATACAAAAAATCACCAACCCCCCAAGAATACAACCCCACCGGCGCCCTCCAAAAGCCCATTGCCGGTCGGCCGCCAAACCCACCGGCCTGCACACAGCGCCCCGCCCCAAGACCCGCAACGACTGCGCCAGTCAGCGTCTACCAACCACTTTCGGCCCGCCCCAATCCGCCCCCTCCGCCCCCAAATCCCCCCGGCACCACCACCACGCTCCCCGCCTCGCCGCGCTCGTTCCTCACATACCCAAAACCCCGCCATGGACCCGCACGTGCACCTGCCCGCCGGCTCCAGCACGTCGCCCATGATCAACTACAGAAAAGACGCCAAAAAGGCAGTCAAATTCACGTTCATGGTCGCCGGCGAGCTGGGCACGGGCAAGACCACCTTCATCAACTGCTTGTTGAACCGGCGCATCATGGCCCACGCATACGAGGGCGCCCGGCCCGCGGACACCAAAACGTTACTGTTCACCCTGGCACATGCCGTGGCGTTGCCCAACGCGTCGCTCTTGGCACGCAACCAGTTCGACGCGGCCGCGGCCGCAGACGAGCCCGGAATCGCGTTGACGGAAACCAGCGTCGAGATCTTGGACGACGTCAACGTGCGCTTGCACTTGAACATCATCGACACGCCCGGCTTCGGCGACAACTTGGACAACGAGATGTGCTACGCGGAGATTGAGAACTACTTGAAGCAGCAGTTTGACTCGGTGTTGGCCGAGGAGACGCGGGTCCGCCGCAACCCGCGGTTCGTGGACACGCGCGTGCACGTGTTGTTGTACTTCATTGCGCCCACGGGCCACGGGTTGCGGGAAATGGACATTGCGTGCATGAAGCGCTTGGCCCGCTACGTGAACGTCATCCCGGTGCTTGCGCGCGCGGACTCGTTCACGGAGGCCGAGTTGCGCCACTTCAAGGCGCAGGTCAACACGGACATCGAGCGCTTCAACGTGCCCACGTTCCAGTTCGACACGTTCTTGGACGAGTACGACGCGGACGCGGACGGCGACTTGATTGCCGAGTGCCAGTTCTTGGCGCGCTTGCAGCCGTTTGCCGTGGTGGCGTCCGAGCAGGACTTCGAGATCCGCGACGCGGCCACGGGCGCCACCAAGACCATCAAGGCCCGCCAGTACCCGTGGGGGCTTGTGGACGTCAACAACCCGAAGTACAGTGACTTGCCAGTGTTGCGCTCCGTGCTTTTCGGCTCGCACTTGCAGGACTTGAAGGACTTGACCCACGACTTCTTGTACGAGACCTACCGCACGGAGCGGTTGAGCGAGGTCACGGGCAAGGAGAGCGGCTCGTTCAGCTCCACGCCGCGCTCCACGCCCGCCGCGTTCCCGGAGATGCTGACCGCCGTGCCCTCGTTGCTGAACTTGGCCCAGTTGACCGCCAACGACACGTCCATGCAGCTCGACTTCACGCAAGACGAGCCGGAGTCCGCGTCCGTGGCCTCCGCGCCGCAGAAAAAGAACCGCTCCATGTTGTACGACGACGCCGACGACACCGCGTCGCTCGCCCCCGCAGACAACGCGTCCTTCAGCTCGTCGCGCTCCGCGTACCTGAACATCTCCAGCCAACGGAACTTGGACTCCACCGACAAGCTGTTCAAGCGCATGTCCATTGCGCCGCAGAGGTCGCAGTTGAGGCAGATCTCCGAGACCGTGCCCTACGTGATCAGGCACGAGCGCATCTTGGAGAGGCAGCAGAAGCTCGAGGAGATGGAAATGGTCAGCGCCAAGGAGTTGGAGAGCAGGGCGGCCATGTTGGAGCAGAAGGCCGCGCTGTTGAAGGCCCGCGAGAAGTTGCTCTTGGAGAAGTTGGAGATGTACAAGCGGGCCGAGGCGAGCAAGAAAGCCGCCAGCGCCGATGACAACGACGACAACGACGACGACAACAACAATGACGACGACGATACCGTGCAGACCAACGGCGGCACTGCGTCCGTGGCGGACACCAACAACACCGAACAGTCGTCCGCAGGTGAGTCTGCGGCTGTCGACAAGTAAAATCACCGGTAAATAGAAAATCTCGAGTCAGGCACTGATATGTAGGTTTTTGCCCGTTGGGGAGCCAAGGGAAGTGTTGGGATGCAGAGTTTTTTCAAAAAAAAACTGAGCCTGGATGGGCCATTCGAGGTCCCAACGAGCACTGTGAGTCCACGTGGAGAATCTGCGCCCATTCTTAGCCAGCGGCCGCTTTATCAAAGAGGCATATTATTTTATAGTTACTGAATGCCCTCGAAAATACAACCCCGTGAAAGGGGTGTCGTCTGATACACCATTCATGTGATTGACCATTAATTTTGCAAGTGAGTCCATCTCGCATATATCCGATTACGCATGGAAGGTGGTGAGGTGGCCAAAAGACCCACGATTTATGGTTTTTTTACAGGCCAGCTTCTTCAACTTGACCCTTCTTTAATTTGACTTTTCTCGCTGCAACATGGAAGTTGTTAGTGGCAGTTTACCCACACGTCATGTCTGAACGCACGCCTCTCAAAATTATTATCTGCTTGTGCGTTCGGGCCAGGATTATATTGCATGTATTTTAATAAAGCTGTTACAGTGGACAGAATTAAAATAAAGGCGACGCACTTGGTATTTGAATATTGTCTCCCTGGGGATCTTAGCTCGACCAATGAGGATATTGATTACTCATTGGAAAAACAACTTAGACAGTATATCAAACTCGAATGTTTCAAACACAACTTCTGTAAAGAAAGTTTCATTTGCCCGTTAGTTACATTCACAGCAGGCATCATCCTGTTTCATTGTTTTAGGCTGTTCTTCAAAAAACTGGAAGTTCATCAAGTACCAACGATACTCGGAGAATCAATCTGTCCACAAACTAACATCAGACTAATTTGGGACCTTTGACTGTTCCAACAACCTAACATAAGAAATCAGTTCTTACAGTCTTTTGTGTGTTCTGATTTGTAAAAGTCTAGACTATTCTTTTTCAAGCAGTGATGATTCTTGCAAATCGTCTGTATGCGTACTCCCAAGCTCTATTGTGGGGTACATCAACTACCACTTCCGTGGGCACCACTAGAATTGTTTTCTTTTTTATTTTCGTAGGGCAGACGGTTCTTGAAACTAAATAACATGTTGCAAAGAAATGTATCAAGCGGTCTCAAATCAGCATCTTCTACCGGTATTAAGCTCACTCTTTTGCTTGGCAAAATAGCAAGAATGAGCAATTTGAGAATTGACTGAGAAACAAAAACATCTGCAACTGGTTCAAGGCGAGGACATCGATGGTTGTATTTGGATGACCAACAGCTATCTGAATTGAACAAATGGTTTCAATTTCAGAGTCACCATGTGATGCTCAAACGACTGAACTCTGGTCTGGCCTGTAAATGCGTTTCTTTACTTGCTAATCAGTGTGTGGCAGTCGGAAAGAGTTGTCTGTTTGTTTGTGAAATGGTGCGCGAGACCTCAGGTACGCTCTAAGCTACGCGGGTATTAGATTGCAAGAGATTGAACTTGTCTGGTGGAGACGTTTTCGTTATTTCCAAAATTCACAGGTAAAAATACGAAGATCAAGCTTTTTGTATAAGTACCTTTATGATGTTTCTTTTTGCTCTCGGGTGTTTTCAATAAGCATGGTGCTAAGTAGGGAATTTCTTTTGATCCAATAGGCCTTTTCAATGAGCAGTCACTGGGCTAGTGAGCCTTGTGAAAACCGCATTTACTATGACATGCGGAAGATGTTCAGTTGTGATTCATCCAAATCCAGTCTTTTTGAGCCAGTTGACAAGAAGCTCCGTGAAAAAAGGTTTTGATATTGAGTCCAAGTCAGAAGAGCTGACAAATCTTTCTTATTGAGGATATGAAAATGTGTGGAACTCAATGCCTGGGGGATGAGAGATGGTAAATGCGAGTTTGATCCGGCGCTTTTATTGGGGTAGAATAAGGCGATTTGGGACAAGCGGGGAGGCGTGTTTGAGGAATTTCTCGGGAATCGAGGCAGAGGACAATTTCCCAGAGAGAGAATCTCGAAAATAATCCGTATAAAGGAAAAGGGGTATTTGGATTAGTTTGCCCTGATTGAAGAGTATGCACCAAGACTAGGTCAAAGCAGAATGGGATGGCTGCGAAATCCGGTTGCAGCCCCCGCGGCAGTAGTATAACCCATACAATGCGAAATGCGATACGTGATGGAGCAGATAAGAACAGAACAATCTAGGCAGAGTTTTCTGTCGATGTTTCTGGATCGATAATGAAGATTATATAGAGGGAGAAGGAATAGGAATGGAGAGGGTACAGAAAGGGGCTTGAAAATGGAAATGGAAATGGAATTGAACTAGCGATAGCAACGGATTGGTGAAGGAATAACGGGGTGGATAGAACACACTGTTCCAGGAGATGGTACCAACCATTAAGCAAAAAGCATGAGCATTGAAGTGAAAATACAAGTACACGGCATCCAAACGACAACACGAAATAAAGAACATCAGTGTCTCCAGCCCGGCACCCAATGCCCTTCTCGGCAATGCCCAGGACCAGGCCGTACCATCAAGTTTCCACCAGCACAGCCCGAGCGGGCCAAAGCTAACACGAGCAGATAAAAATGAAATAAAAGAGAGGAAAAACACGAAATGGAAGGAGCTCGGGCACTACGAAGAAGCGAGAAAAAAACTGGTAAAAGAAAAGGAGCTTGGAATAGTAGAGGAGAGCAAGGATGAGAGGAGTGAGAAAGCATGAGAGGAGTAAGACAGCATGAGACGCGAGAAGTCACGAGACCCGAGCAGCAATAAAATGATTCAGAATGGAAATTACCGGAGAAGCCTAAAAGCGGCGGTTCTGAGCCATCTGGAATCCTGGGGGCCCTGGGATTCTTGGTCACCTGAACCCGTGCGATTTATTGCTTCACTGAGGCCCCCGCTGCGACTGGCGTGCGGTGTAAGATATTAGAATGCTTGAAATGAGAGAATATGGAGACACGATGGAACAACACATAAACAGCACACGAACGGAAGAGATGTGAATTCTTTTGCACAGGATTAGAACCAAACCAAGGCAAAAAAAACAAGCGCAAAATAATTCAAAATAAATCAAGATAAACAAAACCAACACAAGGTCAATCAAACCAAACCAAACCAAATCAAACCAAACCAAACCAAATCAAATCAAACCAAATCAAACCAAACCAAATCAAACCAAACCAAATCAAACCAAACCAAATCAAATCAAATCAAATCAAATCAAATCAAATCAAATCAAATCAAATCAAAT